ACCCTCCTTTCCCATCAGAGGAGAGCTTTCCTGGGTTTTTTTTTTTGCTCTCCTCGTCCTCTCTGACTCCTCTGACACTCGTACAGCAGTTGCAGAGGAAGGGAAAGTTAATCCTCAAAATTAAATACAAATAAGGAGCTTTTCAGTGTTTATGAAGGGCTGCAAAGCTGATTTGGCAGCAGGGGGATGGGAGGAGAAGGTGGCCCCAGCTCATCCTCGGGCTGGGCAGATGCGTTCCTCCTTGTTCCTGTGGCTTCTTGGTGTCCCCCTCCAAAGCCTGAACCACTTGAGCTGGGATGGACATCTTTCGAGGTCTTCCCCCCCTGGAGAGAAGCTCCTGCTCCTCGTCCCCAGCCGGGCTTGCAGAAGCTGGGCCCCTGGCTCTGAGGAACACGGGGCTCCCCACCAGCCTCACCTTCCCACCTCCACCCAGACCTGAGCAGACCAGGAGATGGCAGAGGGAGAGCCCATCACTAAAGCTGTAAAAGGTTACCTCAACCGGTTTTGCTGGTAATTAGATATTCCTAGATAGGGGTTTGAGCACCACTTCCTCTGTAGAAGCAGATACAGGGAGAGGCGAGTCCCATTCCATGGGGAAGAAGATAAAAACCAAACAGTTTCAACCAAGTCCCTTGGAAATCATCCAGCAGAGAGTTGTAAAGGAGGAAGCATCTCTTGGTGTGTGGAATGAAGTTGTGTGTGTGCTGGGCTGGACGCTGCTGGAGGCTCTCCCCACCACTGGAGGGCACAGCCAGCCTTCCAGATCCTCTCAGCACAGGAACCCGAGCAAGCAGCTGCCTTTTTTGTTTCTCATTAATGGGTTTTGAAAGAAATTGGCAAAGAAATTGCTTCAAGTACTCTATTAGAAGTAGGGGATGACTGATTCGGTCCAAGCGTCAAGTCAGGTTAAGGCCACTGCTTTACAGAAAGCTTTAACAGGGGCAAAAAAACTGTGAGTTTATTATTGCAAACATGGATAAAGCATGTACTCAAACCTGAAAGCCACACAGGCTGGTGGAAACGTGTCAGAGATGTGTTTGGGGAAGAGTAGGTGCAATCAGGGAAGTTCGTTCTGGTGCGGTCCCACCAATTTCTGGAGGAGAACGTTGTGTCTCCACCACGGGCAGCAGCTCACAGCCTCTGTGGTGGCACCACCATCAGCAAAGCCTCTGCTGGGGTTGAGATGGTTTTTCCAAAGCCCAGCTAAGGCAGAGAGGGCAGAACTTGTCACGGCCTCGCTGGTACCTCCGTGCTGCTCAACACGCCTCTGTGGTTTTAGCTCATCGAGAGATCCCCCAAGACCTTACCCAGGTCCATGGTCTACGTCAGCATCATCATGTTCGTCATGGGAGCCAGCATCCACCTGGTTGGAGACTCTGTCAACCACCGCCTGATTTTCAGTGGCTACCAGCACCATCTGTCTGTCAGAGAGAACCCCATCATCAAGAACCTGAAGCCAGAGACACTGGTAAAGAGGCTGGTTTTTTATATAAGCACTTTTAAAAAAAAAAAAAATTAATTGCTTGTTCCTACTTAACAGTGCCCTGTTCCCTCTGCCCTTTTAAATCTCTTTTCATTGCATTGCAGATTGATTCCTTTGAGCTGCTGTACTACTACGATGAATATTTAGGTCATTCAATGTGGTAAGCAATTTACAGTCTGTATCCAGCAGCCCCAGAACTAACACAAGGAAGGGCAGATCTGATCTGATCAGAGCTTAATATGTAAAAAAAAAAAAAAAAAAATAAAATGCAGCTGATAAGAGCTGGCTGGGGATAATGTTCTCGTAGCCAGTGTGATTACAGCAGATCTCACCCTTGGAAAATTGCCCGTTCCCTCTCATTTTGTCTCTGCCTCCGTGGTGTTTCTAGGACATGGGGGTTGTTTGACCCTCGTAGGGGACAGAGGAACAGCTCGTCTGTTCTCACCCCTCGGGCACCTTCCACAGGACACCCGGGTGAAGAGAGAGGTCTGAGGGCTCCTCACACTCCCTGGCTGTCACCACCACCTTTTTGTTCCCATGGAGGTTGACCCCAGAAGAACCTGACTCTGCCCGGTCTCTCCAGCCCTTTGCTCCCCACCTTTACCCCCGTTGAGAAGGAAGGCTTGCTCCTGTAGCCAGACCAGTGCCACCCAGTAAAAGAGACGGTTTGGCCATGGTGGTCCAGGGAGCTGAGTTAGGGTCTGATTTCCAGCCCTTTGCTCCCCACCTTTACCCCCGTTGAGAAGGAAGGCTTGCTCCTGTAGCCAGACCAGTGCCACCCAGTAAAAGAGACGGTTTGGCCATGGTGGTCCAGGGAGCTGAGTTAGGGTCTGATTTAGAATTATAGAATTGCCCAGGTTGGAAGGGACCTTTCAGATCATGGAGTCCAACCATCAACCCAACACAAAACCCATCACTAAACCATGTGTCCTCTGGCCTGCACTGAAGACCAGGAGGGACTCTCTGGCCCTTTATCTACTGCCAGATAATCCCCAGACCTCTCTGAGCATGGAGGGAGATCTCTCCTTCATTGGGCTTTCCTGGTTTATTTGCTGTTCCATGAGCAAGCAAATCCTGTTCTTTTAAATAAAACAAGGGCTCTATTAGGCTGTTGAAACCCTGGTCCACATCCTGCTTTCCTGCTACTCAACTTTTAACAGAACACAACCCTCTTAAACAGGCTCTTAGAGCCTGGGAGTGTCAGAAATACAATTGTTTGATGGAACCCCCCAGCCTGGGCCTTGACCTCATCAACAAACCCGAGCTTTTCCTGCCAGAGCCCCAGAATTCTCACCCACCAGAGGGTTGTTTCTGTTTGCAGGTACATCCCTTTTTTCCTGATACTCTTCATCTACTTCACCGGCTGCTTCACCCCCGTGGAAGAGGAGAGCAGGATGCCGGTGGCTGCCTTGCTTCTGATGGGGCCCAGCAGCCTTTACTACTGGTGAGTGGCTTCTCTCCACTCTGGATGGGTGAGGGACCAAGAGGGAGACCCCTCAGGCAGCCCTTGGCCATTCCCCGGGGCAGAACTCGCTGCAGCTTCTCTGCAGGTCTGGAAAAAAATCAAAGCTGGTTGAAATTTGCAGCCTCTTGGGCTTTTGCAAGTTGGAACGACTTCAGGGTCCCCCCTCAGCTCCTGTCCCTGCTTGGGGTGTTCCTTCAACCACACTGTTGGGTCATATTGATGTTGCTGGAGCTCTGGCTCTCAGCCTGTGCAGTACTTGCTGCCTGCCCCCACCCTTTAAAAGCTGCACGATTTTGGGGTGCTCACCTGGTTCCTGCAGTGCTCCTGCTGGGTCTCAGCTGGTTGGTGGTGATGGGGATGGTCTCACCTCTGGTCCAGGAACTTACACCGAGCCCAGGCCGCCCGCACGATGCTCAGATGCCACCTCCTCAGCTCGCCCTGTGGGTCCAAATAGCCTTTTGAGAGAGGTCTTATTTATTTCCCATTTTCATTAGCCTCGTCTTCCCAAACGGTTTCCCTGATGGCAGCCAAACAACTTCTCAATTCATCTTCAGAGATGATGTTCTCTCTCTCTTGCCCGTGGCTTTGCCCCCTGCCGAGACTGTTTTTCTACAGTAAATTAATTTTTGATCGTCGAAATCATCAGGAAGAATTGGTCAGTTCCCAGTTACCCCATTGCACTTCCTTTAAGTGTGTCAGTGCGAGTCCCTGCAGCTCCTGTGCTGGTGATTGAAGAGCCAGGGAGCGCGATTCCTCCTTCCTCCCACTAACACCCCTTGGGGACTGGCCACTGCCGGGCACAGCGGGGGCTGGGGGAAGGGGAGAGTGGATTTTTGGGCTAAATGAGCCCAACATCCACCAGCTGGAGGCACAGTCTGGCTTTGGTTCTGCTTTTAAGCATCCCATTGACAAACTGAGCCCAGCACCTTTCGAATCCCAGACTGGACACGTGTTTTGTTACCAGTTCTCTTGATGGAGCCCAGAGCTCAGTTGTTAAATAAACTGGTAAGAAATGGGAAAACAAATCACAGTTTAAATGCTGGCAGTAGAAAGGGGCACAGCTCATTTTGTGTGGGTGCAGAGCGGGGAGAAGGGGGAGATGTTCACCCCAGGAAAGGCTGGAAGTGCTGGGGGGGCACCTGGCATCACTCGGTGCTTTCTCCCGGGGTGAGGGGCACTAACGGGTGTTTTTTGGCTTTGTAGGTATCTCGTGACGGAAGGTCAGATTTTCATCCTCTACATTTTCACTTTCTTTGCCATGATGGCTCTGGTGATGCACCAGAAACGCAAAGGACTCGTCCTGGACAGCAATGGGCTTTTCCTCTTCTACTCCTTCATCATAACGCTGCTCCTCATCGCTGTCTGGGTGGCCTGGCTCTGGAACGACAAGATCCTCAGGAAGAAGTACCCCGGCGTCATCTATATCCCCGAGCCCTGGGCGTTTTACACCCTGCACATGAACAACCTCCACGCAGCAAAGGAAAGTTTATAAGTTTTGATATTTTAGAGCGATTTGAACCAAAAAAAAAAAAAAAAGTGCCACCCAGTAAAAGAGACGGTTTGGCCATGGTGGTCCAGGGAGCTGAGTTAGGGTCTGATTTAGAATTATAGAATTGCCCAGGTTGGAAGGGACCTTTCAGATCATGGAGTCCAACCATCAACCCAACACAAAACCCATCACTAAACCATGTGTCCTCTGGCCTGCACTGAAGACCAGGAGGGACTCTCTGGCCCTTTATCTACTGCCAGATAATCCCCAGACCTCTCTGAGCATGGAGGGAGATCTCTCCTTCATTGGGCTTTCCTGGTTTATTTGCTGTTCCATGAGCAAGCAAATCCTGTTCTTTTAAATAAAACAAGGGCTCTATTAGGCTGTTGAAACCCTGGTCCACATCCTGCTTTCCTGCTACTCAACTTTTAACAGAACACAACCCTCTTAAACAGGCTCTTAGAGCCTGGGAGTGTCAGAAATACAATTGTTTGATGGAACCCCCCAGCCTGGGCTTTGACCTCATCAACAAACCCGAGCTTTTCCTGCCAGAGCCCCAGAATTCTCACCCACCAGAGGGTTGTTTCTGTTTGCAGGTACATCCCTTTTTTCCTGATACTCTTCATCTACTTCACCGGCTGCTTCACCCCCGTGGAAGAGGAGAGCAGGATGCCGGTGGCTGCCTTGCTTCTGATGGGGCCCAGCAGCCTTTACTACTGGTGAGTGGCTTCTCTCCACTCTGGGTGGGTGAGGGACCAAGAGGGAGACCCCTCAGGCAGCCCTTGGCCATTCCCTGGGACAGAATGCTGCAGCTTCTCTGCAGGTCTGGAAAAAATCAAAGCTGGTTGAAATTTGCAGCCTCTTGGGCTTTCGCAAGTTGGGACGACTTCAGGGTCCCCCCTCAGCTCCTGTCCCTGCTTGGGGTGTTCCTTCAACCACACTGTTGGGTCATATTGATGTTGCTGGAGCTCTGGCTCTCAGCCTCTGCAGTACTTGCTGCCTGCCCCCACCCTTTAAAAGCTGCACGATTTTGGGGTGCTCACCTGGTTCCTGCAGTGCTCCTGCTGGGTCTCAGCTGGTTGGTGGTGATGGGGATGGTCTCACCTCTGGTCCAGGAACTTACACCGAGCCCAGGCCGCCCGCACGATGCTCAGATGCCACCTCCTCAGCTCGCCCTGTGGGTCCAAATAGCCTTTTGAGAGAGGTCTTATTTATTTCCCATTTTCATTAGCCTCGTCTTCCCAAACGGTTTCCCTGATGGCAGCCAAACAACTTCTCAATTCATCTTCAGAGATGATGTTCTCTCTCTCTTGCCCGTGGCTTTGCCCCCTGCCGAGACTGTTTTTCTACAGTAAATTAATTTTTGATCGTCGAAATCATCAGGAAGAATTGGTCAGTTCCCAGTTACCCCATTGCACTTCCTTTAAGTGTGTCAGTGCGAGTCCCTGCAGCTCCTGTGCTGGTGATTGAAGAGCCAGGGAGTGTGATTCCTCCTTCCTCCCACTAACACCCCTTGGGGACTGGCCACTGCCGGGCACAGCGGGGGCTGGGGGAAGGGGAGAGTGGATTTTTGGGCTAAATGAGCCCAACATCCACCAGCTGGAGGCACAGTCTGGCTTTGGTTCTGCTTTTAAGCATCCCATTGACAAACTGAGCCCAGCACCTTTCGAATCCCAGACTGGACACGTGTTTTGTTACCAGTTCTCTTGATGGAGCCCAGAGCTCAGTTGTTAAATAAACTGGTAAGAAATGGGAAAACAAATCACAGTTTAAATGCTGGCAGTAGAAAGGGGCACAGCTCATTTTGTGTGGGTGCAGAGCGGGGAGAAAGGGGAGATGTTCACCCCAGGAAAGGCTGGAAGTGCTGGGGGGGCACCTGGCATCACTCGGTGCTTTCTCCCGGGGTGAGGGGCACTAACGGGTGTTTTTTGGCTTTGTAGGTATCTCGTGACGGAAGGTCAGATTTTCATCCTCTACATTTTCACTTTCTTTGCCATGATGGCTCTGGTGATGCACCAGAAACGCAAAGGACTCGTCCTGGACAGCAATGGGCTCTTCCTCTTCTACTCCTTCATCATAACGCTGCTCCTCATCGCTGTCTGGGTGGCCTGGCTCTGGAACGACAAGATCCTCAGGAAGAAGTACCCCGGCGTCATCTATATCCCCGAGCCCTGGGCGTTTTACACCCTGCACATGAACAACCTCCACGCAGCAAAGGAAAGTTTATAAGTTTTGATATTTTAGAGCGATTTGAACCAAAAAAAAAAAAAAAAAAAGAATCTAGTTTTTCTAACGTAGATGTATTTCAAATAAATTCCTGACCAACACGAGCTGCCAGACGTATTGTATGGTAACTAGACCGAGCTGAGGGAGGGGGGTGTTTGAACAAAAGGGAAAAATAGTCTTTGTGATTTAACACTTTAAAGCCAGGGCCGTGGCAGGGGTGTCCCCCCTGGCTTTGCAGGGGCGGCTTTCGATGGCACAGCCCCTTTCTGGGGGCTTTGGGGATGGTACCACATCCCTCCCACACCCGAGCAGGGGTGCAGAAGCCCAGCCCCACGGTGGGTACACCCCACCAGCTGTGCCCCCCCATCCCACCGCGCTGCCCGGGGAGCGTGCCGGCCTTTCATGGGAGCGGTTTGCCAGGAAATCTTGGCAGGGAGATTTCTCTGCTCCTCCCAGGCTGCTCCCAGCAGAGTAAACACACCAGGAAGGGGCTGAGCCACCCCCACCTTGGACCCGCTGCCGATGGCTCTGCTGGGCCATTCTTCTCCAGGGAGCCCTCCCGGGGTCCCCGAGCGGCAGCGCTGGGCTTAATCCACTGCAGGAAGGGTCTGGCTGGGGGCAGAAGAGCCAATTCCCCCCCAAAAAAGAGCGTGGGGGGAAAGGGGTGAGCTCCACTGGCGTGGGGTCTGCATTTTCTCCTCCTACTCACCATTTCTCCAGCCTCAGGTGAAGGAGCTGAGCTCCCACTGCTCCAGCTGCATCCCCGCGGTGGCTTACGGCAATAAACCTTGCATTAGAGCCCTGCGTGGTGGAATCCAAAAGGTAGAAGAAAAAGAAAAAAAGCTGTTAGTGTGAAACACTCCGAATAAAAACATTCAGTAAAAGCTGGGTGACTCACGTTGCTCCTGGAGCAGCTCCGTTGGTTGGAGGGAGAATCTTTGTGCCACGAGATTGAAGGATGTGTCACTACATCCTGAGTGTCACTGACACTGAATGTGTCACTGACAGAGCAGGGTCTACCCTGGGAAGGGTCCTGTCCCTGCCGGGGTGGTCTCTGTGGCCACTACTCCTGCTGGGTCTCAGCTGGTTGGTGGTGATGGGGATGGTCTCACCTCTGGTCCAGGAACTTACACCGAGCCCAGGCCGCCCGCACGATGCTCAGATGCCACCTCCTCAGCTCGCCCTGTGGGTCCAAATAGCCTTTTGAGAGAGGTCTTATTTATTTCCCATTTTCATTAGCCTCGTCTTCCCAAACGGTTTCCCTGATGGCAGCCAAACAACTTCTCAATTCATCTTCAGAGATGATGTTCTCTCTCTCTTGCCCGTGGCTTTGCCCCCTGCCGAGACTGTTTTTCTACAGTAAATTAATTTTTGATCGTCGAAATCATCAGGAAGAATTGGTCAGTTCCCAGTTACCCCATTGCACTTCCTTTAAGTGTGTCAGTGCGAGTCCCTGCAGCTCCTGTGCTGGTGATTGAAGAGCCAGGGAGTGTGATTCCTCCTTCCTCCCACTAACACCCCTTGGGGACTGGCCACTGCCGGGCACAGCGGGGGCTGGGGGAAGGGGAGAGTGGATTTTTGGGCTAAATGAGCCCAACATCCACCAGCTGGAGGCACAGTCTGGCTTTGGTTCTGCTTTTAAGCATCCCATTGACAAACTGAGCCCAGCACCTTTCGAATCCCAGACTGGACACGTGTTTTGTTACCAGTTCTCTTGATGGAGCCCAGAGCTCAGTTGTTAAATAAACTGGTAAGAAATGGGAAAACAAATCACAGTTTAAATGCTGGCAGTAGAAAGGGGCACAGCTCATTTTGTGTGGGTGCAGAGCGGGGAGAAGGGGGAGATGTTCACCCCAGGAAAGGCTGGAAGTGCTGGGGGGGCACCTGGCATCACTCGGTGCTTTCTCCCGGGGTGAGGGGCACTAACGGGTGTTTTTTGGCTTTGTAGGTATCTCGTGACGGAAGGTCAGATTTTCATCCTCTACATTTTCACTTTCTTTGCCATGATGGCTCTGGTGATGCACCAGAAACGCAAAGGACTCGTCCTGGACAGCAATGGGCTCTTCCTCTTCTACTCCTTCATCATAACGCTGCTCCTCATCGCTGTCTGGGTGGCCTGGCTCTGGAACGACAAGATCCTCAGGAAGAAGTACCCCGGCGTCATCTATATCCCCGAGCCCTGGGCGTTTTACACCCTGCACATGAACAACCTCCACGCAGCAAAGGAAAGTTTATAAGTTTTGATATTTTAGAGCGATTTGAACAAAAAAAAAAAAAAAAGAATCTAGTTTTTCTAACGTAGATGTATTTCAAATAAATTCCTGACCAACACGAGCTGCCAGACGTATTGTATGGTAACTAGACCGAGCTGAGGGAGGGGGGTGTTTGAACAAAAGGGAAAAATAGTCTTTGTGATTTAACACTTTAAAGCCAGGGCCGTGGCAGGGGTGTCCCCCCTGGCTTTGCAGGGGCGGCTTTCGATGGCACAGCCCCTTTCTGGGGGCTTTGGGGATGGTACCACATCCCTCCCACACCCGAGCAGGGGTGCAGAAGCCCAGCCCCACGGTGGGTGCACCCCACCAGCCGTGCCCCCCCATCCCACCGCGCTGCCCGGGGAGCGTGCCGGCCTTTCATGGGAGCGGTTTGCCAGGAAATCTTGGCAGGGAGATTTCTCTGCTCCTCCCAGGCTGCTCCCAGCAGAGTAAACACTCCGGGAAGGGGCCGAGCCACCCCCACCTTGGACCCGCTGCCGATGGCTCTGCTCGGCCATTCTTCTCCAGGGAGCCCTCCCGGGGTCCCCGAGCGGCAGCGCTGGGCTTAATCCACTGCAGGAAGGGTCTGGCTGGGGGCAGAAGAGCCAATTCCCCCCCCCAAAAAGAGCATGGGGGGAGAGGGGTGAGCTCCACTGGCGTGGGGTCTGCATTTTCTCCTCCCACTCACCACTTCTCCAGCCTCAGGTGAAGGAGCTGAGCTCCTGCCACTCCAGCTGCATCCCCACGGTGGCTTACGGCGATAAAACTTGCATTAGAGCCCTGCGTGGTGGAATCCAAAAGGTAGAAGAAAAAGAAAAAAAGCTGTTAGTGTGAAACACTCCGAATAAAAACATTCAGTAAAAGCTGGGTGACTCACGTTGCTCCTGGAGCAGCTCCGTTGGTTGGAGGGAGAATCTTTGTGCCACGAGATTGAAGGATGTGTCACTACATCCTGAGTGTCACTGACACTGAATGTGTCACTGACAGAGCAGGGTCTACCCTGGGAAGGGTCCTGTCCCTGCCGGGGTGGTCTCTGTGGCCACTAAATGCTTTGGTTTTGGGTCTGGACCCACCGCAGCTGGGCATCAGGCACTTCATGATTCCCCCACGCTACTCCTGCCTCCGCAGCCACTGGGTCACTTTTTGGGACACTTCACACACCGGCAGATCCAGAGGCAGAGCGTCACCCGTCCCGCACCCAGGAGGACCCCAGTGAGCTGCTGGATGAGCTATTTTGGGGACAAAATCATACATTTATGTATAATACCTGCTTGCTGGCTCGAGGGTCAGCCAAGTGGCAGAAGCATCGCGCTGGAAGGGACCAGAAGACTCGGGCAAACATGGGTTTTTGGGCCACCCCACAGCAGCCAGAGGTTCTGCCTCTCCCACACCCCCAGCTTTAAACCCCAGAAGCTCTGGGTTTCACTGCCCCCCCCCCCCAGCATCGTTTCCTCAGCACCCCCCTTCCAAATCCCAGCCCAGGGGCGGCAAGAAGACGTGGCAGTCCTAGAGGCTGTTTGCTCCCCAGCAGATTAGCTAAATAAATGCTAATAAACAAAAACACAGACAAGGGGGAGCTTTTTTAAACGATCTCAAAAATCCTTTCTCTCCTCAGCCTGCCTGCTGTGTTTGCAGGGGGCACCTCTAACCACCCCCCGCCACCTCCATCCCCTGCAAAGCCACTGGGCAGGACACAGTGAGGCTGCCAGCGATGCCTGGTGCCCCACACAGAGCTCAGCCACGACGAGCACCCCCCCAAATCAACTCTTCCTCCAGCAAACCCCCCCCAGCAGGGAACTGCAAAGCTGCAAATCCCCCCCCCAGCACCCTCAGCGAGGCTGGATTTGTCTCCCAGCAGCTAAAGCTCAGCACAAGGTGTGCAGCTACTGGAGATTATCAACCCTTCGGGGCTCACCTCCAGCCAGCCTGACCCCAAACACCCCCAAAACCCCCACCCAGGGAGGGTCTCACCCCAGCTCCTCCCCATATCAACACTGCTGGGGGTCCTGTGGTTTTGGGGGAGCCCTTCTCCCCACGGCATGAGAGCAGGAGCCGTGCTGGCAGCGGGATCCAGCCCTGGCAGGGATCAGGTCCCGTAGCCATAGCAGCGGGGTATTTATTACAGCCCAGCCACACTCCACCCCGGGCTGGAGGACTTTAGCCCTTCATAGAATAGAAAAAGTAGCAGCAGACACTTCCAGTCCCAACGAGCAGCGTAAAACACAAGGAGGGCCCCCCAGAATCATGGTGAGTGAAGCTCTTCAGCTGATACAAACTGCTCACCCCCCCCCTTCATCCAGATTTTAAAGCTGGTTTTTTTTGTTTGTTTGTTTTCTTCTGTCCTCCTCCTTCCCCTCCTCCTTTTATGCTACAGGCAAAATTTCTATCCCAGGATCAAATTAATGGTACGTACGGTTCTGTTCTGCCTTTTTTTTAATAGCGAGATCAGTTTAACAAATTTGAGATATATATATATATATCTCTCATAGAATGGTTTAGATTGGAAGGGACCTTAACAATATTTTTTTATATATATATATCTATATATACACACACATATATATATCTATATATAAAAAAAGGCATTTTCCCCAGAAGGGTCTCTACCTGGGCTCATGCTCCCCATCTTGCCTTCCCACCCCCCCCAGCTCCCCAGATTTCTCTGAAACCAGAGAAATCTCCCCAGTTTCCCTAAGACAGCACTGGGCACAGGCAGGCAGCTGAAACCACCCCCTGGGTTGCACGGAGGGGTTCCCCAGCAACCCCCCCAACCCCCCCAAACACATCAATCCCGGCCAAACTAGTGGGGACCAGGAGAAATTTGAGGTGACCACCTGCAGCGCCGGAGCCTGGCGAGGCTTCCTGGACGATGGGAGCGAAGGTGAAGGAGGAAGAGGAGGGAAGGAGAGGGGAAGGAGGAAGGGTTTGCTCGCGGAACGGCAGAAGAAAGCTGAAATAAGAGTATTATTGCAAATCTGTTAATCTGCAGCACCCTCGGGCTGAGCAGCTCTGGGGGATTGCTGCGGGGGAGGAGGCAGCCGGGGCAGGGGGAGGACACGGCCCCCCCACACTCACGCCCACGGAGAGCTCTAGGGCTGGAGAGGATGAGGAGGGTGAGCGATGGCACCAGAAAAAACTGATTTTCACCTCCCAGCCGGGGCAGGGGGAGGACACGGCCCCCCCACACTCACGCCCACGGAGAGCTCTAGGGCCGGAGAGGATGAGGAGGGTGAGCGATGGCACCAGAAAAAGCTGATTTTCACCTCCCTGTGGGGCACAACTTGCCCGGTGGCCACTGCGCCGGGAGCACGGCGGGAAGGCAGGAGGGGAGGCGATGGCAGCTTTATCTAGGTCAGCCCCAAACCATGGCTTATTTAGCTGAAAACCAGCAAGGCAGTGGCGGAGGGGGAAGGGGAGAGGGCGAGGAGCCTGGGGAGAGGCCAGGGAGGGGAGATGCCCCTGTGGGATGGCAGGTTCTCCTCCCCTAACCTCGCAGCACCCAGACTGTCAAAATGCCACATTATCCTTTTTTTTTACCTTTTATTAAAACCCAGATGGTGGCAGACCCAGGCAAAAGCAAGTGCCAGCCCCTGCAGGGACCAAACCAGCATCCTCCACCCCTCCTTAAGGCTCATTCCTTTAGCATCCTCTCCTACCCCCTCCAACCAAGGCAGAGAAAAAGTACTTTTTAACAGTATTCTACATATTTGGAAGCCTGACTCCGCTTTCAGACTTGCTTCATCAGGTTGAAGGAACCCAATTAGCTCAGTTATTCACAAGCCGGGATTTTAATTGCCCTTGGCACTTTTTCCCCGTGGTCCTCCCCTCCTTGTCCATCATCTTCCTTGAAAGGAGACACCCCGAAGCCGACACAATATCCCCTGCTGGAACCCTCCCAACACCGCCCGGCCAGGCAACAGGAGAAGAAACATCCACCAGTAGGTCAATGGCAATCTCACGTGGCATAACAGAGAGTTTTGGTTTTTAATTAGAGTTCAAGGAATGTTTTTCCCTGTACGACAAGAAACAAAAAGGCAAGATAAAAGCCTGCGACCTGATGGCAGTGATGCGGTGCCTGGGAGCCAGCCCCACGCCAGGAGAGGTGCAGAGGCACCTGCACCTGCACAAGATCGGTAAGGAAAGGGCAATGCCAGCACGTGAATAAAACACACCGGGTTAGGGATGGAGAAATTCAGCTTTTCTGTGGCCAGGAGACCACAGGCAAAGGCAACGAGGCTGCCTGGAGCCCAGAAGAGAATATTCAGTCTCAGGTAAAACAGCCAAAAGCCACCCCGATGTGCTGGGTGGTAAACAAAGTCAATCCAGCACACAGATTAAAATATGCTGATTGAAAAAATAAATAAATAAAAGCTTGGAGACAGCGAGAGGGTATCTATTGATTATGGATTCTGAGGATGGGAAACCGTCCCGTCCAACCAGCAGAGGCAGAAGAGCACAGAAAGATATTCCTCTACAGATACGTATAAATAAATTCAAAGCCCAGCACAGACACCAAAGAAGACTCATGAGATAAAAACGGGCTGAGTTTAAAATTCTGGAGACAGAGGTTTCAGAGCACAAGTCCAGCAAAGCTATAAAAGGGGTTTGGGGACAGAAGTGGGTCTACCCTGGTTCAGATCAGAGTCAGGCAAAAGGGAAAAGGTGCCCCAGGAAGGGAAACTGGGGGGAAGAGGAGAGGGGGGTCCTTAGGTCTGGAGTCAGCCTGCAAAACTGAGCTGTTCCTAAAGAATCTGCTCTCATCTTTTCCAGACAGAAACGCAGAACTGGATTTCTCCACTTTCCTGAATATAATGTACAGGCAGACGAAGCAGGAGGAGCCCGAGAAGGAAATCCTCACGGCCTTGTCCATGATAGACAGGCAGAAGAGAGGGGTTATCACCGTTTCGGAGCTGAGAGCCAAACTTACAAGACTAGGAGAAAAGCTTTCGGAAGAAGAAGGTATTTTGCAATTCAAAGATTGACAAAACGCTCCCCCACCTTCTTATTTCCTTCCTGATTTTCCTCTGTAGTCAAATCTGGGATCAGGAAGGACCTTGGCCAGCAGAACATGGTGCTGGTGCACCTTTGGTGGGGCAAGAAGGGTGGTCCCCCCAAAGGGATGTCCCCTCATTGTGCTCCTGGTGCACCAGGGCATCTCACCATCCATCATGTCCCCTGGTCCACCCCACCAGCACCACCCTCTCTCCTGCAAGAGCCATTCCATGAGCTCGTGCCTTCCTTTAAAACACTTTGCCCACTTGAACCAGGGCCCAGGCAGCCGGGAGCACCCCCAGAGCCCAGCCCAGCCCGTCAGCCTCGTCATCTCGCCACAGCTAATTAGTCTCACGTGATGGTGAAGTCACCTCACTGCCAGCAGCCTCTTCCCCCAGCACCAGCCCCAGACTGTGCCTGGCAGCAGAGCCCAGCTGCCCATTAACCTTTTCCCTTTCTCCAGTTGTTTCCTGGATGATGATTTGTTTCACCCCGAGATGCTCCGCTCTATTCCCAAATTCTCCCTGCCAGGAAGGGCACAGGGAGAGCATCCATCCCCCAAGCTGCAGGGATGCTGCACGGTGTCCCACGAGCTCTGTGGCCAGCACAATTTGGAAGGAGAGGGGGACTTTTTAATTAAGTTTCTTAAAAAAAAAAAAAAAGAAAAGAAAGAAAAAGAAAAAAAAGAAAACCCCTGTCCTATTTGTCAGAAGTTTGCCTCCAAGGGACACAGCAGGAGGGAACTTCCAGGAAGCTGAAAATGATCAAACCCTTTCAGACAGCTGATTTTGCTGTGGGCACTTCATGCACATGTATAAACTTTTTAAACGCATGCCCCACTTTTCCAGCTTCCCCCGGCTGCAGGAGGGGGGGCCAGGCCTGCGGGAAGGCTCTGGGTCAGGGCTTCTGGGGTCAGGGTGTCCTGTCCCCTCCTCCTTGCTCCAAACCACCTCCACCTGGGGCTCCTTTCTCCAGCTCTCACCCCTCTGGCCCCACTGGGGGCTCTGGAGCATGGACATTATCACCCCATCTTTGGCAGAGAGCAAGGAGAAAACCCACCCGCAGCTTGACAGGGGCAAGGAGTGGGTTTTCCCCAGGGTTGTGGGCTTCGTTACAGACCCCATTAGGCTGCTGGGGGGGAAAAAGAACTGTCCTAGAATCACAGAATCACAGAATCTTCTAGGTTGGAAGGGACCTCAAAGATCATCTTGTCCAACTGTCAACCTAACTGACAAAAATAGACACCCACACAACAAACAAGGAGCATCATCACTAAACCAGACCTCCCAGCACTACATCAACCCGTCTTTTGAACACCTCCAGGGATGGGGCCTCAACCACCTCCCTGGGCAGCCCATTCCAATGGCTGAGAACCCTTTCAGGGAAAAAATTTTTCCTAATATCCAGCCTGAACCTCCCCTGGCACAACTTGAGGCCATTTCCTCTCGTCCTGTCACCTGTGACTTGAGAGAAGAGACCGACCCCCACCTCTCTACACCCTCCTTTCAGGGAGTTGTAGAGAGCAATAAGGAGAATTAACCCAGTCACCACCACCAGCATCACGAGCCACACACCAAGGCGTGTCCTCCCAGTGTCTTTTTTGGCTGTTTCACTGGAATAATAATTTCTGCAGCGATGCACATCTGAAAACACTTTCGGAGCTGTTATGAGAGCTGAACAGTGGAGACGTGGAGACTCTAACCCTAATGAAAGGCATCCCAGCAGGAACCCCCCGTTGTATGAAGAAGATGTGGGGAGGGCAGGGGGGTTTCCCAGGGCTTTGTGTGTAGCTGCACAGCCCGTTCCCCACCAAGGCACCATCCATCCTCACGAGCAGGAGACGCCGCTTCTCAACCAGAAATTCCCCCCCTGGCCCGACACCGGGCTCCGCTGGCTCCGCTGCTATAAATATTTGATGCCAGAACAGACTCAATTTCATTACGATTGTTCGGTAACTCCTTGGCACGTACCTTCATTTACAGCCATTCCAGAAAAGCCTTCACTTCATTTTAATTTAACGTCCTGTTGCCAAATGAGAAGCGACATCTTCTTCTTCTGTGTTATATTTGTTCTGGGAAGAAGTAATTTTTTATATATATATATATTTTTATATATATATATATATTTTTAAATTACTTAGAAAACACACAAAACCCCAAAGACCAGCAATGGCAAGAACCTGTCCACAACTATTTACAGTAAAAACAGCTTTTCTTCCCCTAAACCCCCCCCCCCCCCGTGACCTCCCCCCTGGATTTCACAACTGGCAACTGCAAAGCCATTATTCCCCGCTCCAGTAGAGTCTTATTTAAACAACAGCAGCTCGTTCAGCCTGAACGGCCGCGCTGGAAACCTCAGCCAAATAGCTCAGGAGTGAAAATGCAGACCAGTAGAGTGCTGGGACCAGTTCTGGGCCCCCCAGCTCAAGAAGGACAAGGAACCACTGGAGAGAGCCCAGAGGAGGCTACGAAGATGATGAGGGGCTGGAGCATCTCTCTGCTGAGGAAAGGCTGAGGGACCTGGGGCTGTTCAGCTGGAGAAGAGCAGACTGAGAGGGGACCTCATCGATGCTGAGCAATAGCTAAAGGGTGGGGGGCAAGAGGATGGGGTCAGGCTCTTCTCAGTGGTGCCCAGGGACAGGACAAGGGGCACAAACTGGAACATGGGAAGTTCCATCTAAACACGAGGAGGAACTTCTTTCCTGTGAGGGTGGCAGAGCCCTGGCAGAGGCTGCCCAGGGAGGTGGTGGAGTCTCCATCTCTGGAGACATTCAAACCCCACCTGGACACGTTCCTGTGGGACCTGCTCTGGCCAGGGGTTGGACTGGGTGATCTCCAGAGGTCCCTTCCAACCCCGTATCACTCTGTAATTCTGTGACCAACCTCCATCAACCTGCCCTCACCTCTTTGGGAAGAGGAGAGCTCCAGCACCACCCTGGTGAGGTGACACCAGCCCGAATGGACACGAGATGATGAAAGACTCGCACTTAGAGCATCACTGTGTATGATTCCTCTGTTTCAACCACCTATCATCTGGCTCTACACACCAGAAGGTGTCCTGCTAATGAAATATCAAATGATAAAAGCAGGGACACAACCCAGCAGCTTCCCCTCCCTCCTCACAGCATCCAGCCACACTCCCCTCCAAGGGCAAACACCAACACACGCCCCTGGGCATCAGCAAGGACAAACCTCTCCTGGGCTGTATCCGATGCCTGATCGGAGGAAACCGCTGCCCAAAACGTCAGCAAATACAACCTGCTGTGTTTCTCATCTGCTTTAGCACTCATGGGGAAAGCAAACAACGGAATTCGGCAAGGAATAATGCACCTAATTCCCAGGAGCACCTTCAGAGAATCATAGATTCATTCAGCAACATTTAATGTTACTTTTCTATACGTCTTTACTTACATATTTCTATTTTATTGACGTTATTTGACAGGAAAAATATCTTTCAATGGTGCACTTGTTCTACCACTACTCTTCATTTCAAACAAAGGCCCATCAATATTAACCACAATCACAAAAATCTGCTTGAAGTTGGGTACGTAATCTGCACAAAGCACTTCATTTTGTCCAAATTGCACAGGGACAGGTTTGCTATTCAAATCCAATTAGCCACTCCGACCAAGCGCAATTAAAAGCTGATTTGCACTACATTTGTAAATCTCTTCCACTTGGAACTCAGAGATGGACATCTCCACTCCAGAAAGTTAAACATGGAACTCAAAATCAAAGCACTAATTGATGCTGGTTTAAAACTACAGCCTGGCTGACATCTCCAACTGAGCCCGGGAGTTATTACTTCTAACAAAAATGTTATGAAACCCCAAACCCTGCCTTGCTCTTTTGAGATCACAACATCCCTGATATACACCACTCAAACTTAGGTTTTCTTTTACTCTTTCTTTCAGTTGATGACCTGCTAAAAGAAGCCAAAGTTGGACCAAATGGAACGATAAAATATGAAGAATTTGTCCGGATCATTTGTCTTCCTACAGTCGACTACTGAAATGCAGAACATGAGATTGGTAAGAGCAGGACCTGAAACTTTTTCGACTTCCATTTTTCCTAGTTACCGCTGGGACTCGGGAAGCATCGTTTTGCCTTTAAAAATCCTTCTTTTGCCTTGATGAGAGTGCTTACACCCACACAGGTTCCCACCCCATTTCTGGAGAAATACTGTCACAAAATGTGAGCTCTGTTATTTCAATAAACTGAATACAACATTCCTTTGTGTAAAAGGTGTCATGCCTAACAAAAAAAAAAAAAAAAAAAAAAAACCACAAACCCACAACTCTTATTTTTAAAATGTATTTTAAGTCTACAGATTGTGGCATAAATGAGAACTTGTAGTTAAGGTGATGGTAAATTCCATGTAACTACACCCAGCTCCCCAGTATTCCTTGGATCCACCATATGACCCCATAAGATAACTCCCAACCAGATGGTCCCCTGCCACGAAGCTGTCAAGACACCAGCCCCACATCCCTGGGGACTATCTAGAGGGACAGGAGATGGGCAGTTCTCCAGCTCCACCAGTGCTGCTCACCGGTTGCAGAGGACAACTCCCAGTCTCCAAACAGGAACGGTCCGTGATCGCTGTCTCTTCCCTCCTCATTTTTCACTCCTCCAGCGTGCAAAACCTCTCTATTGCTGTACTTCTGTCACATTATTTATTAAGGGACAGTCTCCTGCAACGTCAAGTCTCTCCATGGCTAAGCTGCCCCTGCACTTTGAGGCAAGAAACTGAAAACGCTGCGCTTGGTAAATGTATCTGTCACCAAGTTCTGGGCCAGTTGCCCAGAACATACTCCCAGAGACAGCCTGGCAGGGAAAAACAAGGGCTGTGAAAATTCAGCTTCTCCACAACAGGAAAAAAAAAAAAACCAACAGACCATCTCTCTTGGCTTTAAACTGATGAAAATTAGTGTGACCCCACAGCAGTCGCCACTGAACTTATTCCATCTGTATCTCGGCAGCCTTAGCTAAGGTCCTCAGAAATTGAAATTACAGCAGATTCTCCCTGGGGTCAACTGGAGATTTGCAGAGACCATCTCTGCTCAAACTTGGTTAGAAACTAAAAAAAAAAAAACAAAAAAAAAACCAACAAACACAAAAAAAACCAAACCAAAAAAAAAAAAAAAAAAACCACCACAAAAAAACCCCAAACCATAGAGCTAATCTTAACCCTTCCCCATCAGCAGTGTCTCTAGGAGGGTTCGGTAGGGATTATTCTTATGGAATATTATTACACGGGGTTAAAAAAGCACAAGAGATTAAAGGCTGATACTGAATGCTGTGCAAGGAATGGAAGGGGCTGCAGGATGTTGGAGTTTTGTGCCCAAGCTCCTGTGACCCCAAGCCAGGCCGCAGAGCTCCCATGGGACAGAGTCCCCATAAACTCCAACTCAGATCCACACACACCAAGACACCAACCAAGGGCTCTCTGGACAGCAAAAGTCACACCTCGAGGGGAAATAAACTTTGCTTGAGGCAAAACTGATGTACCTTGTCACACCTGTCCACCACGTCCCTCAATTCTTACATTAGCTCTTCCTACTCCACAAATAGAAACCAAAAAAAAACCCCTTGTTTCTCTGAAAATTAATGAGTTACGAGCAGCTCAACACCCTGCTAACGCTCCAGAAAAAACACCCACAGAGTGATAGGATTCATTAGCAAAACCAAGAATGAGCTCCAAATGACAGCAAAGGAAATGATCTCCCTGGCAATTCCCTTCCCACCGTTCACAGTTAATGTCTGGACAAAAATCCCACCTACCTGGACATCTTTGGAGGGCTGCCCACCGCAGGGAGACGGGCTGCTGCCCACCAGAGCTGCTCCAGATCCCCCAACAGAAGTACCAGTGAGACAGGGGAGCAAAAATACTCCCTTGCTTTGATCTCCCTGGCAATTCCCTTCCCACCGTTCACAGTTAATGTCTGGACAAAAATCCCACCTACCTGGACATCTTTGGAGGGCTGCCCACCGCAGGGAGACGGGCTGCTGCCCACCAGAGCTGCTCCAGATCCCCCAACAGAAGTACCAGCGAGGAAACGGAGCAAAAATACTCCCTTGCTCTGAGCATAATTAGCTGATGAAACAAGGAATTGGTTTAGAAGCATTTGTTTCCAATAGGCATCAATAGCCAAATTACAAAGGATGCCCTACACAGCTTAATTCTTCCCTCTTGACCAGAACAGTTGATTAACAAATCCTTTCAGCCTCAGACAATACAAAAGCTTGTATGTTGTGGGGATTGATCAGCTCAAAATCACTTTGGATTACTCCTGAATCCATCCCTACCATCAAAGGCAATTCCTGCCCTCTCTGGGTGGGTAAATATTTCCCAAATAAAACCCAGCAAAAAGAAACCCCACTTCACACTCACACGACACAGCAGCATCGTTAGAGCCCAGGGAGACACGTCTGAGACACCCCACACCACAAAAAAAACCCCACCAAAATATTGAGAAGCAAAGAATTTGGGTTAAAAAAGGACCTTTGCAACTCTCGGTCCCCAGAAAACACCCTGCCCCCCCTCCTTCCCCCCTTTTCCCCTCCCCCAGGAAACACAACGTAACTGAATGCTTTTTATTACATCTAAAGATTTCTACATAAACAGGTAACATTCAATAGGTAAACCATTTTTTTTTTCCAATGCATATAATAAATATTTTCACTTGGTACTTTTATACAAACTGACATTGGTCTACTATACATTTTTAAAAGCCATTTACTGGTTTGGCATGCCATATGGAAACTAAGAGAAAGTTTTAAGGCAATGAATGACAGATTTAAATTCATGGAATTAATGGTAATTTTAATATTCTGCTTATATACATTTTTCCCTTTGTTAATTAAAACAATTAACAGCAGCACTTTCGGGGACCACCAGCAATTTTCCCTTGTTAGAAATCTAAGCTCTGTTAAAAAAAAAAGAAAGAAAGGAAGAAAAAAAAAAAAACAGTTACACTGACAAAACCCAAATCCTTTATATTTAAAATGTGCTTAAAACCCTGAAATGTTAAACTGCAACAAAGAATTCAATTTCCAAACGTCCTCCTCACAGTCCTTAAGCTCTGCCTTGGGAGGCAGGTCCAAGAGAGTCCAATGAAGAAAAAATAATAAAATAAATCTATGGGTCATCCCATCCTTGAAAGGCTCATTGACTCCTTGCGGTGGGGAGGAAGGGACGAGCCCGGACTCGCTGTCACCTCTGTCCTTAGGGAAGGGCTACACAGTTTTTAAACGCGTGGCAGAGGTTGTTCATCTCCCAAAGGATGCGTCAGTGATGCCCTCAAGAGCCATTCCAAGCCACCTCCAGCCTGTGTGCACACCCCGCTCCTCGGTGGAAGGACCCCAGGAGAAGAGACCACCGGTCCGAGGAGATGGGGATGTGGAGGGAGGGGAGCAGCACCGCAAGCCAGGCCACCCCCAGGTTGCTTTACTGCCTCCTCCCCAACGTGTGACCCACCGGAGGTGGAGTTTTGGAGTGAGGTTTGCAGGGAACTTGTCCAGAACTCAGACTGAGACTTCTACCAAGCAACGTTAACCGTGGTCAGAGGCACAGAGAATTATCACCTATAAAGAACACCCTGGCATGAAAACAGGAATACTCACAAAGCATATGGGATCAATACCACAAAGGAGGACGCTTGAGAACGTTTCTGTCCCGTCTTTGTAGAGCACTGAGGTTTAAAAAAAATGACAACGGTGAAGCAAACAGCCTTCCTTCCCTTTGGGGGGACTCGTGAGGAGATGGAAGACGTCATCAACTGACCTCTCTTTCCAAAAGCTGAGACAGGCAGAAAGATGCCAGATTCTGCATCACCACACACTCGCCACCTTTAATTCCGTAGGTGAATTAACAAGATTTATTTTTTTAATACCATTGTCAAAAGCGACACAAGCTGCTCTTCGGGTCGTCTTTGAACCACACAGTCAACGGAAACGGGGCCACAATCCTCGGTCAAACAGGGGAAAAAAAGTGAAAATTTCCTGAACTTCCCACAGGGGTTTCAGGCGCCCGGTCCCACCGAGGGCGGCCGCGCTCCGGCGTCACAGCAAAGTCACCAGGTTAGGATTCATGACTAAAATGTATGAGATATATTCCTAATGTAGGTTTAATCACTTCAAAATCAGACTGAGTTTAAAAAATAAGTATTTCCCGTTTTCTATCCTTTTATTTATTTTTTTTTTTTTTAACTGACATTTAATAAATTATAAAATTGGTGTATGGTGAAATATATATATCAGCCAGATATGTATGAAATACACATGCATGGGAAAAAACTATTTAACTCACTTTTAACTCACACACACAGATCTATAAATACATATATACACACACATATACATATAAACACAAACATTTGTTTTCAAAATTCAAGTCAACTATTTAGTGGCAGAGGGATGCTGTAAAAACACTAAAAACAATTTTGATGCCACATAATGTGAACCTTTCAAATAACCATACGACTGATCATACAGCAATACCTAATGCTACTTGGATTAAAGATTTTTTTTTTCTTTTTTCCTTTTTTTTTCCTTTTTTTTTTCTTTTTTAATCAATGCAAGATTTTTGAGACAACTTCATAGGCAAAAGGTGGCCCTTGTCAATGCTCAAAGCAACTAGCTGCAATCAACAGTTTTGGACATGAAAAATTCAGACAAGAATCTGCTAATTTTAGTATTCCTTACTCTCTCTTCCTGATAAACTTGTTACCTGCACTTTCAACCAGTTATAAAAATATTTTTCACACCAGAGGAAATATTTACTCTCTCTGACATGGACTTTGGGACACAAGAGAATCACCTCCTTCCCTCCCCCTTCTCTTACTTTAAAGAATCTCCTGAAAAACTGCATTCCAGCTATTTACACATTTCACTCTTTAGTAAGAATGGATCAGTCCAAATGACCCACCAGTTCTACACAAAAAAAAAAATAAAAATTTCCTATGTCATGCACAACTTAAAAAAAAAAAAAGAAATCAGGAAGTAAGTATGGCTCAAATTCAACATAAGCGTACTGAAAAATCAGGGAAATCAAAATAATTACAAGGCCAAAAAGAGAAAACTGAAATTTGAAACCCACTACCCTAAGAGACTTCAATAGGCAGCAAAACATTTGAGTCCATGGGCTACAGGGTGAGGCTTTTTTATTGGGTTGGTTTTTGGTTTAAAAGACTCACATTGAACATTTAATATTAAATTTTGATGAATGTGATCTCAGAAGACAGTGTACCAAGACCATTATCAGCTGCACAAACCATGCAATAAGTGTGTTGGTATTTGTATGTTCTTCCTTTTGTTGAACAAGTTCACTTTTAAGCAGGAATTTGATCTACTAGAGCTCTAAGTAGGTTTCTCCAGACAGAACGAGAGAGGCCTCAATTCAATAGGCCGTTTATACACGCATGGCTAACTTTAAAGCACAAGCAGTTCCACAAATTTAAAAATGACACATGCTTAATATTTTGCTGATTAAGATCTTACGTTAATTTAACAGGATTTCATAGCAAGTTCTCAGAAACAAAACCCTACAGTCCAATGTGTCGATGCTTTTATTTGGGGCTAGAGTCTATAAAAATTCCCTGTCTCGTCCCACAGAAGCACAGCCAAGTGAATCCTCAGCCTGAGATTTTATTGAGTCTGGCCCTCGAGAATAATTGGTGCACTAATGAGCGTGCAACATGCTTGATTAAAGCACGGAATTTAAAAAAAAAAAATAAAAATTGTCTGAATAGAGGGTCATGAAGAACCAGAAATGACCAAAAAAAAAAAAAACCCAAAATCCCAAAAAACCAAACCCACTCCTGAAAGGCTACATCCTGCAAACAGAGGGGATGCTGTGCAACAGTTTGGGTAGGGTTTATTCCGCTTTAAGCATAATAAAACCTGCACTAAATATGGGATGAGGGAATTAGATTCCAAAGGTAAATGTCTCCAAGAGGAGAAAAAATCCTCTCACAAGTTTGAACTTTAAAAGTTCAGCTCCTTTCCTGTTTATGTTACTGTGAAGAAAATAATGCCATTTGTGTCCAAACTATGGGGGGGGGAAAGTAACTTACATGACAAACGAACAGGTGTAAAATCTTCACCATCCATAAAAATGACCTGAAGCTCCTTGTTTTTGTTAATTTTTTTTTTGTTTTGTCTTTTTTTTTTTTTTCTTATTTTTACCAGTGAGGCCATCTTAGGTTTATATACAAAAGTAAAACTGAAAATATACTTTTGTTCTCTGTACACATAAATTTTTTTCCCCTAAAAAAGGAAAAAAAAACCTTGTCTATGTTTCTAACATAAAGTAAAACCAAGCACAAAGATTTTTTTCCTCTGACGAGTTCGTTGACTCCAAAAAAAAAAAAAAAAAACAGTCCAATGAAATAATGTCTGGTATGATACCAAAGATAGACGCCGTGTCCGTGCTGCTCCTACTTGCAACGGGATGCCCATGATTCTCTCGCAGGCTGTTGGAGGAAACAAGACTGCTGTTACTGCCACTATTGCTACCGTTTGTGGCCGGCAGAGAACCGCTTCCTCCTGCATTGAGCTGATCGAGAAACATCTGAGATGAAGTGTAGGGGAAAAAACGAGAGTGTAAGAGTTCTTGATCATCTGAGGCGGAAACTGCCGCGGCTGCAGCCGCAAGAAGGGATGTGTTGTAATGCTGGGGGGGGAAAAAACAACATTTGCAAGTTACATTTCAGATACCGTCGTTGCGATTCAGAGCAGCACAAAAAGAAGGTATTTGTAAGCTAAAGCTCTGACAGCTTCTGGCTTTCACATCAGTTCATCTACTCAACCTCTCTGTGAAGTAAATGGACCGATGGAGTGAACTTTTAACTCTGCAGACACTCATTTCCGAAGCCAAAAGAAACTGGAAATACTAGTATTAGTACAAGCAAACGCTAGAAAGGCAACAGTATCCAAAATACCTAAAACAGTAAGAAGCAGCACTCTTTTACCTCGTCAGAAAACACTTTGGTGGAAAAATTCCCCCAAATTCAAAGGAACATTTTGCTCCCCCTCTCCTCCGCTCAAAAGTTACAGACCAGGCACAGCTGGTGGGGGAAAGCACTTCTGTGAAAAATGCATCTGGAAACAGGACCCTGAGTCCCATCAGGTGGCAGCAAGAGCTGTCCTGAGTTGTACTCTTTAATGGGCAGCCCATGAAAGGCAAGAACTTTGGCTATCAAAGATCAGATTTCAAATACGATCTCTCTATGGGATAATTTTGCTCATGCCAGCTATTCAGACTTGTTCCCCAAAATTCATGGCATAATTACACCAGTGCCTATCAGTACAGCATCAGACTTGGGCGTTACTTGTTTCAGAATAATTCTCCTGTCTATGTTTCACTGAATACCAAGGCAGCTTTTCTGAATCCAAGCTCTACAGTGCAGGCTCTGGTCTTAATTATGATACAAAAGCCTCCCTCTACGTTTAGCGCAACTCTCCCACTTGAGATTGCAGGACTCAGAGGGAACAAAAGGCAGCTGAGTCACCCCAGCCCCCTTCTTTTCTTGGATGCACAGGAGGAAAAGTGATGAGGCGGGAGGACTTGCCAATCCAGACTCCTTTTGAGATTGACCTGCTCAGTTCCCAAACTGGAAGAACCAGCACCAACCTAGTACCTGTAAGTAAGCACTTACAGAAAGGTGGCAAACATGGTATGAACTGGCACACAGCCTCACAAAAACCAGAGCTGCCCATGCCTTATCCTCCACCAGAATTCAGACAACACTTATGTTTGGTCCCAGTTTCTTTGTGTATAAAATAAAGCTGCAGCCTGCCTGCACTTACACCTACATCATACACCTGCTCCTTCCTCGCCTATAACATCCACAGCAGCAAGTCCTTCTCAGAAAAGAGTATCTGCCATATGACTTGATTTTCCTTGACTTACCTGATTGTCTCCTGACAGGAAAGGGAAGAAATCTAAACCTGTAAAAAGCCAAAGAAAAAGATTAAGCTTC